ATTTCTTTTATAACTTCAATAAAATTTAATTGAGCTTTCTTAATGTTTGATTATGATTGTTAACATTTAATTGTAATTTCTCTATAATCCTATTGGATTATTAGGACCTTTTGATGTAATTTTCTTTTACCTTCCACAGCAAGGTGCTTGGTGCATTCTCAAGCAAGACTTCACATATTACGACAACGAGTTTAATTTTTCGTACTAATTGTATATTATGACTTTTAACAAATTCTTCATCTAAAAATCAAGCTGAGGCTCTTGAATCTATTAAAGCAAAGACTTTGTGATTATTAAATCCTAAATACACATCTATTATAAAACAAGAAGAGGGTTCTCAGGAGAGAATATGACATTTATTATAAATTGTATAAGATTCCAGCTGCACGGTCCCTACTATAGCTAGACAAATTCATTTTTTGACATGTTTTCATCTTTGATAGCAGTGCTCCTCATTTTTTAGTTGTGTTATTTCTTTGGATAATATTAAGTAGTCTGCTTAGCTTCTCAATAAATTTGAGGTTGTAGTTCAATCACCACTTGTATGTAATTGATGAATCCTTGAAACTTAGATCTTATCCATCAAACTTCTCAAACAATCCAATTTTTGCTTTCTTGAAACTTGAATGATGTTCCATTGTATGAACAATAGTATGGCTTGGTATAGATGTTGTAGCAACTCCAATCATCTCTATATCTTCATTGCCTAATAATCTTATTGCTCCTTGTAGTTATAGATTGAGTTGATGTATTGCAAGCATTAATTCTCTCATTTGCTCTTGTATTTGAACCATTGCACTCTATTTCAGCAAGTTGTGCCATGCTATTACAATAAAAAGAAAGGTGTATATTCTCACAAAATACAATATTCAAGAATCAAAAAAAAAAAAAAAAAAAAAAAAAAAAAAATCTAGAAACAATATCACTTTGAAGAAGGTAATCCGCAACTTCTAATATGTTTATGTCTTATCAAGATTAAGGGATAATCCACTCTTAATCAAAAAAGGAAAAAGCTCTAATATTTTATATGTACTCTTGTCAATCTATCAAAGATACAAACTGGAAAAAGATACATAATCTCGTGGAATCTATGTCAAAAAAAAAAAGTGAAAAAATATAAGAAAGTATGTATATTCAAGGAAGAACTAGAATGGCTATTGCCTAGGACTAGAAAACATAAGACTCTTGAAACTAGACTAATAACAAGAAAGGAGTTGATAAAAGTGAGGAAGGCATCATTCTTGCCTTTATATATACTACTTAACTAAGAACTATGTGATTACATGCTATAAGATCTCTAATACATGTCCAACTTGCAAGATACATGTCTAATTTGTAATGCAAGTTTTCTAAGTGTGCGCCATATGTCCAACTTGTACTACAAGTGGGCAACATGTCAACACATGGCATCCTTGTTGGCCAAGTTTTCAACCTACCAATCACCTATAGACATGTATAAAGGCAAAGCAATATCTATGAAGCTTCTAGGAAGCTCTCTATAAGATATTATCATATTTATCTACTTTGACTTACTTCTACTTATATTTATTATCAAGATAATTATCAAGATAAATATGAATGTCCGTGACATAAGGTAGAGGCATCTCATGATATATTTCCTACCTTTGTTATATTTCTACCATCATTTAAATTTTGAGGATGTGGACCTTGTATAATTTGAGATATTAATTCTAAAATCTATAAAGAACCTAATTCCAATAAAAAAGAGCATGCTATGGGCTTTTTAATTGGTACCACAATTACTTATGATATCATTGAGAATCTATCATTTTTTCCTTAGCCATGCTATGGACCTCAATACTTTAGTATGGATTTTTGGCATATATTTTATTGTTCAAATGGATTTTTATGACCATTTTAGTATTCTAATGTTAAAAATCAATAATCAAAGAGCAATGGATCCTAGATTTATTAAGATTGAGGAATTTGATTTATTTTTTTGCTTAAAGCGGTGTACAATTATATCTTATAAATTTAACATAGACAAGAGATAAATATGATTTTTATCAAATACAATTAATAACAATTGATGGCAATAGAAACATACTAAAATGACATTGTTTGTAATAATTTAAATTCTTTTTTTATTTTAATAAAGTCTTATCTCAATTTTATAGATCTCAAAATAATCAAAAATCTTTTAATACAAGTATTTGTAGTATATTTTTATAATATTTTTTATTTCTTTAAATAATAAGTCAAAGCCTATAGGATTAATAATAAGTCAAAGCCTATTATTGTAGAGATCTTTGTAAAATTAAGATTCATCTTTTAATCCAAATTGCAAGATGACATTATGTAAAAATAATTTTAATTAATAATATAATTAAAAATAATAATTAAAGTATAATATAAAATAATATAATACAAAAAAAGTGAAAGAAAAAAAACCAAAAAAATTGCATATTTAAAACATGGTGCAATCTATTTACTCTAATTTATTTTTAAAAACTACTTTCTTATATTAAAATATATTATAGTATTTCATAATATCTAACCAACTTAAGAATCTTATAAGCCTTCAAATCCTACTTTAATTCTTGGACATATCCTCTAATATTTGATAAAACTATTTTAATAAAAATCTTCAAAAAATACTTTAAAAATCACTAAAAAATAAGTCCAGGGAACCTAAGAAGAAAATATGACGTGAAATCATTATTATCTATATTGCATATATATATATATATATATATATGGAAAGAGAAAGAAAGAAAGACAAAGAGAGATTGGCATATAAAAAAATCTATTATTCTTATAGTATTGAAAGAAGCATTTCAATCTATAATAAATATATATATATATATATATATATATATATATATTAATAATAAATAGAAATTAATTAATTAATTTAAATATTTACTATTTTAATTTTAAAACTTTAAATAAGATTTTTTGATGTATAATATATATGTAAGTGTTCTTAGATGAGTCAAGTAGCTTTAGAAACTCTATTAGAAGTTTCTTACATTGATAAATCTATTATGGAAGTAATCTACAACTTAAGCACTTGTTTCAAAAGCCTTGTGTTTTTAGAAATCTTCTATTTTTTCCTATATACACACCTATATAGAGAGAGAGAAAGAGAGAAAAAAAAAATCAAGCCCATCTATAATCTTATCAATATATTTTTTGTGTTTAAATTTGATTTCAAGAATTTTTTTAAGTTTCATATTTAATAATATTTATACTTATACATTGTTATTTTAGAAATGTATATTATTCATATTTTAATACTTTTTTAATTATAAGTGAATATTTATCTTTGAATAAGTTTGTATAGGTTTATGTTTCTAAAAATTATATGACATTGTATACAATTACCACATTATCTAAATCATGTCAAAAAAGAACATGTGTTTTGAACTTAATCAATTATGTTAATTAAAGTAAATTTGATTTTTAGTTGTATTATCATAGCATATAAAAAATATATGATATTTGAAAATATTATAAAATAATAATTTTATGTTTTTTCTTGTCTTTTAATTTTAAAAAAATAACATAAATCTTCTACTTATTTGTTTTAGGAAAAATAAAATAAAATAAAATAAAATAAAAATCTTTAAGAGTTTTTATTGCCTTGAATATGGCCTCCTTTGATAATAAGTTAGAAGATTAGAAAAAAAATAATCATAATGTTGTAATCACTTACATATATATATATATATATATATATATATATATATATATAATGAAATTATTACTATTTTGATTTCTTAAATACAAATTATATTTTTTATTCTAATTTATTACTTATATTTCAGTTTTATATATATATATATATATATATATATATATATATTTTAATCTATTTTTATATAAGTTTCTCTAAATAATTTTATATTGGAAGGACTGATATAGAATTTATCATTGATTATTTGTAAAATATGTCTTGATACTTCTTCTTTTTTTAATAAAAGTATTTATAATTTATCTTTTTAATCCTAAATAAAAGTTTTAAAAAAATTAAATTAAATCACTTCTAATAAACTTGGGTTTTTTTTTATCTTGTCATTTTTTAAAAAGAAAATAAAAAAAATTTAACTTATAGGATTCTAGATCTTAGAACTATCTAAATTACCACACTCCTTCAAAGATAGCTAAAGAAAGCCACATAACCTTTGCACTTGTACTAAAGTATATAATAGCTATTGAAAGCATGTGGCAATATATAAAAAATATTCTAATTTTTTTTTGATAAAGCTATGTATTTTATTTATTTATTTCATCAATGTTTAATATAATATTCAATAAATTCAATAAAAATAGTCAATAAAATCTAAATGGACTTAAAATTGTTGTTATAAAAATTATAATCAATACTTGCACTTTTGAAGTAAATAGATATAATTAGAAGTAAATGAAAAACATCAAAGAAATGGTCGTAGATATGCCACATGGCTACAAAATATTCTAGTTTTTTTGATAAGCTTGTATTGTTTATATACTTATATATATATATATATATATATATATATTACACAATGAAATGAAATTATTGTTCTATAGTTTCATGTTTTTAGAGGTTATTAATCTTTGTGACATTATATCAATTACAAATAATTTTTCTAATGAAGTAAATTGAGTTAAAACATTCGAACAAAATTAAATGTTAGTTGTTTATTGTTCCAACTGGTTATTAAAATTGAAGTTGTAATTGTGGCCAGAATGTGAAAATGAAAAACTGCAAAAATACAAAGAACACAAGACAATGCAGTGAGGCAACGACAAGAAGTAAACACCAACGAAGTAAAGAATATAATATCAAGAAGTAGCAAATAGATGCATGTATTAGAGCAAAACACAATGTGACCTACTCTTCAAGACATTCTCCCACAAGGAAATTGAACTCCAAAACTGGGGAAATTGCAAGGTTCAGATCAAGCAGCTGAGACATAAGCATGCATCAAGAACGTTTTCACCCCCACCAAAAGCTCCAAACCTCTTAAGAAAGCCTGCTATGTGCAAGAATCTATACGCAAAGTTGGAGAGTTCGTCACGACATCCCATATCAACTGGTTCGTACAGAGAACGAAGTTGTACGACTGTGATTGATAATGCAGAAAATGCATTCGTCACAACTCATATCACAGTGGATTATTGAAATTCTCAACATGTGAAGTGACCTTTCCTCATCGCCTAACACACACTTCGTTCGATTGCGTTCTATTCGAACTTTGCTAGCACGATCACTAATTACATACAACAAAAAAGGCCTTTTATCTTTACAAACTCAGTCTCAAATTAGAGAAAGAATCAATTAATTCTACCTAAATGAATATCATTGTGTCAATTTTGACTAGGAAGACTTGGATCAGGGCCGCGCAAACTCCTTACACGGGGTTCTCTACTCACAGCATCAGTTTTTTGCTTGCCGAGCTTTGCAGATTGGACCTGCACACCTACATCCTCACTAGAGGGTTTGAATGGCCAGAGATGGGAGAGTGCGACAACACGACCCACAATGATCAGTGTGGGCGATTCTAACTTAGCTGTTGATACTTCCAATGGCAAATCAGCCAAGTGAGCGAACACCACTCGTTGCTGGACAGTCGTGCCTCGCTCTACTGCCACAGCTGGCATATCAGCTGGGAGCCCATTAGCCATAAGCTTGGCAGCCAAGCCTGGGAGAGTAGCTAAGCCCATGTAGATGACCAAAGTGGAATCTGGATCTGCTGCTCGTTCTGCAACATACAGTGGATCGTCACCGCCTTTCCTTGAATGGCCAGTCAAGAACCTCACACTGTTGGCAGCTCCTCGGTGAGTCAGTGGAATTCCAAGCTCTGCAGAAATTCCAGACGCTGCCGTTATACCAGGCACAACTTGGACGTGAATACCTTGTTCTTGCAAAAAGTCCATCTCCTCGCCGCCTCGACCGAATACGAGGGGATCTCCACCTTTTAATCTGAGGACAGTTGCACCAGACTCTGCGAAACTGAGAAGAAGTTCGTGTATCTCTTCTTGAGTTCGGCTGTGATAGCCGGATGTCTTGCCAACGTAAAGAAGACGTGCACCCGCATGTACCATGTCGAGAATATCAGTGGAGACCAGACGATCGTATAAGACTAACTCCGCGGACTGCATCAATTTCAATGCCTTCACTGTGAGGAGGTCTGGATCGCCTGGACCAGTCCCTATCAAGTACACGTTTCCAGGTCCTCTCTTCTTTCTCAATCCTGTGGCTTCTTCTTGAGCCCACTGGGCACGTAGTAGGTCTAGCACTTCTCTGAGCTCGGGTAACCGGGCAGCAATATCATCCTCCTCCTCACGGCCTGAACCTACGTAGTTAAAGCTCAGCTGTAAGTTACTTTCATGTAGCGAAAGTACAGAAACGTGACATAATTGAGTGACATGTTCTCGTTCTAAAACTTTTAACTTAAGAAAAATTACTAGTTCGACTAAATTCGATGGTCTCATTGGAGATGCGCTACTCTGGCCTCTTCATAAGCCAAATAGAGAAATTACAAAAATCTAGAAAATCATGCGACGGTACGCACAGCAAGGTTTACAAAAAGAGAACCATTTTCTACACCCAGACTTCCTAATCGGCAGCACAGCGGAATTTCTTGCTCACTTCAAGGAAACCTTGAATCATAACTCTCTCGACTAAAAGTTTTTAAAGCGAGAGTCTAAGTTGATACAAAACCAGCAGAATTTCAATATTTTCATCTTTTACAATTTGATTTCTCTCAAAAAAAATTACATTGTTTAAACTTAGTAGTTTTCAAACTCCAACCAAGGAAAAAAATCGACAAACGTCCTCACCTGATGTTTCATCTTTCGGCTCACGGAACTCGGCAGCAGTGTTCGTGAAGCTCTGCAACACATTCGAAGTGTCACCTTGCCCGTCCCGCGTCCGAGCCGCGGCATCAACGCTCCAGAACTCCAAACTCTGAAGTGCGATGCCACTAGGATGGCCACCTCCACGCACCCTCTTCACCGACGTCTTCTCAGTGAAAGGAGACTCCTGCTCCCGACTAGCTCGCACAACCCCCTCGCACACATACAATCGATTCTCCCCCAAATTCACTTTCCGCCAGCTCTGCCACGATCGCATTCCATCTCTATGCACCATCTCTCCTACAAATTGCGACGACACATGGTGCCACGAAACTCGCTGACACAAAGCCGCCATGGCTCCCCTTTTTCTTCTCCCCCACAAGACCCCTCAGGAACTCGAAATCCCTCAGAAACTCGAATCCCTCAGAAACTCAAATCCCTCAGAAACTCGAAATGCTCTGAATCTCAAGTAACCCAACTACAATTCTCAAGAAAAATCGACACCCTTATAAAAGCAAAGAGAAAAACCGATGATGCGAAACACCATGAGCGGCGAAACGGTTTTCCGCGTTCCAGGGCCAACAGTGGTCCAGCCCAGTAGTGGTTGCCAAACTGGGCGAGGAGCCCTGATATGCCCTTTCACGGCCTTGTGATGCCGCAAGCAGCTGAAAACCGAAACCTAAACCTGAATGTGCAACCGAAAGCGAAGTCGGAATCTAGAAGGACTCTGGGAAGAATCCGGTGGGGTGGGGTGGGGCGAGTGTGGCGCGGCGGCGCTCCAAAAAAAACGATAGCCGTTTCGCCGCGTTTCTTCGCAAGCACTTTCTAATTTCCACATATTTTTCTTTTGTCTTCAGGTTTTTTTCTGTTTGGAGGAAGGAAAAGGAAATATGATATGCAATGCGAAAAGGAATTGATGAAGTGGCGCAGAGCTAGGCATGTAATAATCACGTCGTAATTTCTCTCTCTCTCACATTTTCAGTATCAACGTGGTTGGAATCTTTTACTACTTCATTCCAAGGTTTCGAAATGGGATACTATTATTTGAAAAAAAGATTAATGAATGTTCATACTGTGTAGGGTTCTACAATGCCCTTGACACTTGAATTTCACAATATATTTAGGGTTTTCCTGCGATTCTCGACATTGATGTACTTGTGAATTTGAAATACGTGGGAGGTGCGAAATGATCAATATTTCGAGTTCAAACTAACTGACTCTTTTATTTGTATGTATGTATGTGTATGTATCAATGTGTGTGTTTTCTGTGCATCTGAGTCGATGGTTTGGGTATATGGTCAAGTTCGATTATGTGTACGGAATACACGCCATGTGTGTTGTCATGCCGCTCAAATGTGAAACCAAAATTAGAACATTTAGGTTAGAATGTGATCAGATCTTTACCACCATTTGAGTATTTCTTGGGCAGACAATTGTTTTAGATCTTTTATTATAAAACCTCTTAGCTTAATAAACCAATGCCGTTTCAGATAATGAAAACTTCAAAGGTTGACGGATGACTGGAGATCTATAAAGCTCCAAATTGTCTCATGCATTAGACGTATCAACCAATAAAATGTCCACGAAACTAGTTCGGTCATTAGCATACGAATGTCTGGCATAAAACTTTACCCTAAGATGATTACACCTTCAGCAGACTGTCGGTTGATTTTGCCTGTGAGGAAGAATGACCATAGCCAAGTACTCCAAAAATCCATCACATCGATTCCGTTGCCCATCACCCTCCTTATGCTTTAAAAATCCGTCCATTGTTTAGGTAGATAGTGAAGCAGCAGTACCTAATTAGCAACAGTGAGATTCAATAAAATGGTAAGCTGACTGAATAGATGGGAATTGATACACCACTGTTTAATACTTACATTTGGTTCACAGTATAGATCGCTTAACTGGGAGGAATATTAATATCACTACTGGAATAAATCCACAGATATTCTCCATTGTTTTGAACTTTGCTCCAAGGGCTCTTGTGAAGGAAACATGTAATCTACACTGTTTCGTGATCGAACGTAATCGGAGTTGACTGTTTCTAGATAAGAAATAACTATTGATGAGAACCATTGCGTTTACCCACAATCGCGTAGCAGTCAGTATCCAGCACTGCATAAATTCTCCACATGTGATGGATTTGTAACGATGGACAAAGCCTGCTGCTCGCAAGCACAGATACAGTGTAATAAACGACGGCTTCAGTCTTTAGTCAAGCTCCGCGATCCAATTACAAGGCAGCAGGTCCTCACATTCTCAGAAGATGCTTTTGCTGTTCTTCGATCATTGCAACAACTTCAATCAACAGAAATCACAAGAGTTGTTTCTCGTAAAAAGCTGTTTGAAGTTGTTTCACAAGGGCCAACCAAGCACCAACGTTCTGGCCATCAACAGAGACCCAGTCAACCACAGTAGCTGCTGGCTGTTCCCACCACTCATCAACCTGCATGCATAACACCACGAAGCGAATGCGACTCAGAAAATAATGGAAATGACTTTTGGGGTGTGTATCACAGAACCAATATATCCCCAAAAAAAACGTCCTCAATTCTCAACTGTAACGTAGGAAATTTCATACACTTACCAAGCCACGTACGCGCTTGCAGTCCTCCAAACACCGTTGGGCCTCTTGTACTGCACTCTTAAGCTCTGGTAACCATACCTCCAGAGCAAGCTTATCTTGCTCAGCTGACTTTTCAGCACATTGTTGCACACTCCTGTTGAATTGCACATTCAAATTCAGAAACGCTAAGTGAATCGTAAAACGTCCGAGTCAATTACCAACCACCGAACCCTCTCATCATAAAACACAAAATTACCTTTCATACTCGGGTATCGATGCACCGGCAGCAGCTAACAATCCACGGCCACTTTTAAGAAGATCTTTTAAGGTCTGCACTTGATTCACTGCTTTGGCAAGATCCTCTACAAGGTTTGCAGACGTCCCACCAGGTCGGAGGAAGAACCGCAAAGAGTCCACAATTTGAGTGAGCCCAAGATCTCCACTTTCCACTCCTGCAGCAGACAAATATCTAAGAAGATGAGGACTTCTTGCATACGTTAAAATCTTCAAAGCTCTAAATATGTAAAGCAGCGTAAGATGGAAAGCAGACAAATGCAATTATGAAAGCAATGAAAACATACAGACAACTATTAAGCTGGAATAAATAAATAAATAAATAAAATCGGAGTAGCAGTATCAAATTCAAATTTACGCCGGAAGACATGAAGTTTCAGCATCCAGATAATTTGTATGCCCTGATTTAAATGTTTTCTAAGAATGAAAGAAATAATGAAAGAAACTTGCAGAATATGGGGCCTTCACGGTACCGGAAGAATGCATCGCTGCTGAAATGCGGCAAATTGATGGAATAGCAGATGGATCTCCACTTGCTGCCTTGGCGGTGAGCAAATCAGCATTCCTCTCTGCAGCTGCAATAGCCTCGGCTCCACTTGAGGTACTGGAAGTCATTCCCTCTAAAAGACCCTGGTTATATCCAAATCGAGTAAGTTTGGGGTTCATCATGTTAAAGAGACCATGATCTACCTCGAAATACAAATCCTGAAGACACTTCATAAACATCATCTTTATAGAAACAAACTAGATTACCGGGACGAAAGCTGGCATCATGTATAAACGGTTGTCAGGACTCCTTTGAAAGGCTGAGAGTTCCCTCTCTATGAGGTCACGTGCGGCGTTGGATTTGTTTTGTAAAGACTCGCAAATGGGGATGATTGTGCTTGCCGACTGCTCTCTAGACGCCCTTGAGTGATGCTCCCAAGCAGCTGCTGCTGCCTGAAAAAGAACAGAAATCATTGTATCTGCATCAAGACTTCAAAGACGGAAATTGAAGACTTAATTTACCAACTAGTTGGAGATCAATACATATGTACTGACAGGCTTTGGTCATTCGTATATGTATTGGTTGTCTATCTCGTAACTGTTATAGTCATCTCCAAGAAATAAACACAACTTCTGATTCTTGCTCGTTTGCTGCATTTCAAGTCTAGCGCAATAAATTATGACATTAAGCAGTGGATCATTACCATGTTCGCACGGAGCAGAGCAGTATAAATAGCTTCCAATCCCAAGCGCCTAGAATCGAACTCCTCTATCCTTTTCCATTTCTGTCGAAGTGCTTCTTCTGCTTTTCTTCGCTCCTCGCATAACTTATGCAGTCGCTGAACCTCTGACAATAGTGTATTTAAACTAGCTCGGACTCCTGCCAGCTCTCTTTCCTTCGCCCACACTTCTAACTGTAGGAAAACACATGGGCAATTTTGTCATGTCAACCTTCAGGAAAGAATTTCGATTCACATGCGGAGGAAAGAGGGGAAACCACGATAATAACACCAAACACCTAGTAGTAGCTATTTATCTCACTTCATGTTGCCTGAGAGGTCCAGTATTTGTGGCGTCTGCACCAACTTCGTGAATCCTTAAAATCAGTTCATCGCTTCTCTTCTTAGCTTCAGCAGCCTGGTTCACTGCATCCTCAGTGGCCATGAACTGAAAAGCGTGCGCTCTCTGTCAAAGTCGGACTCGGTTAGCGAAAAGATACGTTGAGTCGCAGACATCTAACCAACTAAACCATTCAAAGAACGATTATTATCCATGCAAGTATAACTTCATTAAATTACGAAAAATCTGTCCAGGCCTTAATGCCCACGCCCAGAACCTTCGATTGACTAAACTCATCGAAAGACAGTCAGCATCTAACCTGTCTTTCTCGAAGTTGTTTAAATGTGTTTTTGACTTCCTTACTGCCACCCCTAGGGTTGCGGCGGTGCAAATTCAACAAATCATCTGCCTCAGCCGAAATGTCCTCAAGAACTCTGTTATTCTCATACCTGTACCTGCAGATCTGACGAAACAAATTATTATAAAAGGTAGGGCAGGGCAGTAAAACGTTATGAAATTAAAAGTTTTCCTAGAGGAGTCTGAGCTGTATCATTTTCCTTGCCGTTCAACAGTCGCAAAAAAAAGTTTAAACATGCAGAGAGGGACGAGAACTAATATTCCGGCTCAAAGTGTCAATACAAACAAGCCTTTCAATGAGATTCTCACAAGGTTCATCTGAAAATATGGATGAAGACGCACCTAAGCCGTTCAGCATCCGCTCTAACATCAATTTTCTCAGTTTCGGATTCGATCATTGCCACAACACGTTTAGAATAGTCGTTCATGGCTTGTAATAACAGAGGTGGATTTCTCAACAAAATCGTGGCACTCTCTTTCACTTCTTCTGGGATGCCATCCCCGTCCACTTCAAAGCTTAACTTTGCAACTTCTAGCTGCCCATCGGAATTGCTGCTTCCACCGTCATATGCTGGAAAAGAGCTCCTAATTTTATCCAATAAGGCAGCTGAGAGAACTTCACAGGCTTGACGAATAGTCCTTTCTCGAGAAGACTCATTTAATATTTGATTGCCGTCAGATACACTTACTGATGTAGAAAGATGTGCATCTAAGTTGGTTTGGGCCCGCTCTAGAGGAAAGTCAGATGGCCCCGCCTTTCCTCTCTGCACGTCCCTTGCATGCTCAACATATCCGTGCAGTCGCTTCCAATATTCCATAAATATGCGAATCGACTGTTCTGAACGCTGATCGTATGATTCCAACAACACCTGCTTGTGTCTGTAACCCCATGTGATTAGAATGCACTATATTTTCCAACAGCAAGACAAATGAACCATCAAATATGAACACCAAGGAAATCTTTTCAAGTTCAAATAATTCCTAGATGTTTTGTGTTTTTCATAAACAACATTTTCTTCATCTGAATAAGAACTCACCTCGAGTTACTTTTATCTTCATGAACGCGTTGCCGTTCACATTCCTCCTTGGAGACATCCAGCATGCGGCTTTTCAAATCCTTAGTCATGCGCTGCACAGACAATCTCAATTTCTCCACCTCATGCTCCGCAGCATCCCTCTCACCCAATGCTTTCTCAATCGAATCCTCGCTATCAGCCACCTTCTCTCTATCCCTTTGATCAGCACCTTCCCTCGACTTTGGCCTGTCCCCCGTCCCAGGTCTCGATCGGCTCTTGTAATCACTTGTCCCAGGCCTCCTTCTCACACTCTTCCCTGAATTTGATCTCTCAATCTTAACCGACTCTATCTCCTTCTCCTTCCCTCCCTCGTCCCCCGCATCTCCCCTCAAATCTCGTTTCCCAACCTCACTCACGGCCGTCCCTCGAGCCGGGCTGCCATGCACATGAATATTGCGCCGAATCTTTTCCACCGTTTGGTCACTCTTCACCCTGTCCAATAAGAACTTCCACACGAGCATCATATTCCCCCTGCAAATCCTGCGCAGCGCCTCTACCGACGGCGCTGCTCTGTATCCCATCTCCTGCTGTAACCATTCTATTATCGCTTCCGCAGTTGGCGCTCCGCCTACACTACCGCCCTGCATCGCAGCACTACTTTCAAATCCCCTCAAATCACCTCACTCCACCTCCAGATCATCACAGTCACCACTCCCCTTACCATCTTGGAACACGTCCCTACTCCGCCGCACCCTCTTCCCCTCAAACTTGTTCCCCGAATTCAAAATCCAGGCCGAATCCAACCTGCTCAAAGACAACACTCTGCTCTCGTCCTCCTCAATGACGTCGACTAAACCTGCGTAACAACTTCAAACTTAGTCGATTCGGCCATTCAAACTTACGACCCCGGAACAGGCCATGGCGGAGCAGAGTCGAAAAGGAGTGAAGTGTGAAGAGCGGCGAAGTGGGAAGGTCGTGGCTCCGCCGCTGCCCCAACCTGCGAAGGAAGGAACGATGGGAAGGCGGGAAAAAGAACCATCGATCGGGTCCTGGCCCAGCTTCAAAGATTACTACCGGAAACAAACCCCGTGAGAATCCACATTACTCAACCACTTAGATATCCATCCATACATTCATCTATCCAATTGTTCATCTGTTGTGGGTGTTTCATTCGTCAATTCGGCATTCATCCTGATGTTGAGACTCTCTGATGTACCTCAAGGTAGGCGCACGCATATTGAGTTGTGGCACGTGTCTATCTCACATTGGTCTAGCATTGGTCTAGATTAGGGTTTAGAATTTATTAAAAGCAAGTTTTATTTTTGTGATGAGACGGAGATGCGATAATTGTCTATAATATATAAATTGTGGCCTTTCCAAACCTGTTTATATTTGTGTTTGGTAAGCATCTAAAGATAACATATTATTCTGGGCATATTTAAGATGTTACAAAATGATAATAAATGTAGTATCTTTTTGATGTTTTTGAATGTGTGTGTGTGTGTATGTGTGCGCGTGTATGAAGCAACTGTAAGTGAAATAAAAATGATCCTAATTTTTTGAATTATACAAATTGCAGTGCTTTATATGAATATTGTGCTTATATCAAATCATGTTTTTTTTTTTAAGACACAAATTGGATTTAAATACATATTTTCAGTAAGTAAGTAAAAAAATTATAAATATGTATGTATGTATGTATGTATGTATGTATGTATGTATGTATGTATGTATATATTGCATTGTTGTAAAAACTTTGATGTTTTTGTGAATATTTTCAACATGAAAATAACTTTTTAAAGCCTTTTAGAAGTTTTGTTTTGGAGAAGATTGAACAATGAATCAATAACAACTAAATAGACAAATAAAAACAACAAAAAAAACAAACAAAACATTACTGAAGGTTTAAAATAATCTGTTTAGAAAAATATATATGTGATAAATGTAACACTAATAAAGTTATATTTGTTTTGACTTAAATGCTGAGTCTAATTATTTACCTATTTTATTTTTATACGATAAAAATAGTATTGCACACTAATTAAATGGCCACTAATTTTTGCAACTGTTGCCAATACTATCAACAAATTCTAACAAATATTACTTACTATCAATCTAATACATAACACTTTAACTTCGTGGTTTTATTCCTTAATACCAAATATCTAACATGATTTAAATATACTTAACAACATGAGCTAGATTGTTAAAGTCTTAAAATAGAATTCTATTTGCATCTAAGGTATTAGAATGTCACAACCTTATTATATGACCTAATTTCGTTTGGTGGCATTACCACTCTACTATTAACCACCTTTGTCATTCCATAGTAACTTTTATTGTAATAATAAATATGTTAAAAAAATATCTTTAATATTTTTATGTTTTACTAATAGAATTTATAATCATTATTGTGTAAACATGATTATATTGTTGGCTTAAAAAGTAAGAAAACATAATTATCTATCTTAGATTGTTAGGATTTTTTCTCATGAATAAAAATAAAATTCATAACATGAATCATATACTATGTCTTTGTAAGTAAAACAACATTGTGCAGTTTTACTCATCTTCCCAATCTTTACAAGCTTCAAAATTAATTATAAATAAAATTATAAAATCAGATATTAATTGCTTTTTTAAAATTTTAAAATCAAGTATTATAATTATAAAATATGATGTATAAAAATATAATATTTTTTATAAAACTTTGTCAAATTTTTGGTCTTAATATCATTATATTTTTAAGATGGTATTTTTTAATATATCCAAAAATATCATATTGTGTAAGAATTTTTGTTTAATTTCAAAAATGTCCTAAAAAATCATATTGTTCAATAATATTCTATAAACCAATAAAGTTAGTACAATGTTACATTTGTCTCTTGACTATAATTGCACTTTTTGAAAAGAATTAAATGAAAGTTATTTTTGCCCAATAAAATTTGATGCTCTTATCAAGTATTCTCATAGTTGATATAATAACTTGAAGTTAGCCATACATCATCAATACATAACTATTGAATTTATATTAATAGCAATATAACACAATTGTGTTTTTAAGAAATTACTTAAAAGAAAAATTAATCTGTTTTCTATTTAATTATCATATAAGAAATATTATAAACAAATATAATATTTAGTTCAAACTCAACAATAAATTAAATTCGGTAAATTCAATCTTAGATTTAAATTAATATTTTTTAATTACAGCTTAATTGAATAGAACTAGTATGAAATTTACTGGTTTGTGCATTTTAAGAGACTTGAAAATTAAAATAACAAGTGATATACTCTTTACTTTGTAAGTACAAAAACTGATTTTATGATAATGGCTTGAGATTTTTTATTGCAGACTTTGTTAGTTATGTTTAATTAATCAATAAAAATTAAACACATGTGTGTATATATTATTACTATTAGTTTTAAAAAAAACCATTATTAACATATCATTCATTCTAAATATTTTTGTGACTTGTAAAATGTGTTTTTCTAAATTATAGTAAATATTTTCTTATAATCGATACTTGTAACAAACTCATTTGCTTGAAACTGTGCTACATAAAGTCAATGTATACTCCGAGAATAAGTTATTTGATCTTATAATTAGCATATACAAGTAATTTCTTAGAAATCCTTTCATAATATTTAGATACAATAATTTTTTTACTACTCCTTATTATAGTGTTTTGCTTCAAAACTTTAGCAATTACTATGCTCCATTGTTTATAAAATAATGATTTTTTTAAAAACTACTTTACTTTTAGTGTTATTTATTGATAATCAAAATTAAAGTCATTTGTATTAAAAGATATATCTAATTTGTTTTGTATAAAAGTAAAAATCATTAATAGTTGTGATTTTTTAATATTAAACAATTTTGCAAAGTAGTACACATCTCTATAAGATTTAGAAATGTAAAATCATGTGCCTACATACATACACACACACTTATAACTTTTTATTGTATCAAAATATTTTATATGTTTTGGAAAGTTAAATAATATTTAATAGAATTTAAAATCACAATTTTGTTTTTACATATTAATACATAAAATAGTATTTAAAAACTTTACTTGAAAATAAAGTTGAGGAACTATAAGTATTCAACTATAATTTAAAATATGATAATCAAAATCTTATTTCTATTTTTTTTTAATAATACATATCTTGTGCATATTTAAATAAAATTGATTTTTTAAAATTTCAATGATTTTTTTTGATATTTAGTTAAAACATTTTAACAATAGTTTGAAGATAAAAAATTGATGTCTTTTGTTCCATAGTTTGTATGTTGTTTTTCATTAGAATTTTGCATTAAAAAAATAATAAAATTTTACTCTATTAAAAATATACAATTATTATTATTAGATTCAATTTTATTTATTTGATGTAACCTGACATCTATTCTAATATATTCGTCTTAAAATCTGAAATTTAATATGTGTATATCTAAAATGGTAATCTAATTTTAATTAATAACTTTTAATCCAATAATAAATATATATATATATATATATATATATATAAATATATTTTCCTTTTAGAACGTGTTTTAATATTAATTTATTTTTGGTAATTACCTAATTTTTGAAAATACTATCAAAGATACTTTTGTAAAATTTCTAAGTTCTTTCATTGGTTTTTTTTATTACTATTTCAAGGATCACATAAAACAGAATGTTGTGGATAATTTATCATAAAGTCCATACCAACTTCTCTCACTGAATACATGAAACTTTTCAAAGAATACATTACAAACAAAACAAATGACACCTTTTAAAATCAGGAAATAATATTAAAATATTGTTTGAATTGTTTATGGCTTCTACTGTTTAAAAGTTTTGAATTCCTGTATTGAGTTTAGTTCTAGTGCTTTAATAAAAATATTATGTTTAAGATGTATTAGCTTAAAACTTCTAGCATTTATCAAATGGAGTGTATGTACATGTACAAGTATTTTTTTGTTTGTTCTTTAAATTTATTTTTGGTTTTTTAAAAAAAATTTAGAAAGAAAAAAAGAAAGAAGAAAAAAGAAAAAATTACACTCGTTGATTTTCGAACAATGTTTCAAAAGTTATCTAAAATTAAAAAGACGTACAGAGAAGAAAAAAATGTAAATACAAAATTACAATCTTTGACCCTGTTTATTTTATCATAAAATGTGCAATTTGATTGTTGAAATGCTCTACCTTAACACTATTTCTAAAGATTTTGAATTGCATAAAATTCAAATAGCAACCGGTATTGTGTTCTATTCTTGAAATCACAGTACAATAATTATATTCTTGAATAAAATTATCAATTTTTTTATCATATACAATTTTCTTTCAACCTATGCAATATTTTAGATGTCCTGTAATATTTTCATAAATTTAATACTTGTGTGTGGTAATACATTTGTCACCATTTAGGGAGAAGAATACAAATTTTCATTTTAAAAAATTATTTAGTTTTTTTTCAACTACTAAAATTTTGACATCACTACTGGAGTTTTTTACTACATAATCTATCATTCAAGCAAAAAGCTGCATTATTTCTGTGATAAAATACAGTATTACATGTTTGCAAAAAAGAAAAACGAGAAAAAGAAACAAAAATCGATTTACAGCGCATATTTATGAAATGCATGAAGTGATTTTTTTTCTTGATGAATGCTAATAGTAATTCATGATGTCAAATTTGCCTTACCTTTATCGTAGCAAATGTAGAGGCTCCACACAAGTTAAAACAACTTCCCTCAACTACATACAAAAAACCAAATGTTTTACAATAATTCTTAATGTTAACCATGAGGATTTTATTTATTTTTTGTTTTCCTATTTTAAAGCTCACAACTCTTTTTGTCATCCATAAAGTTTTCTTTTTGCATGCTTGTGTCCCAATATTACATCCATGACACCAGAAAGTTATTTTAAAATCAAAATACAGAATTTAATGTATATTTACCATCTGAAAAGCATGTACACACACACACACACACATATATATATATATATATATATATAAATATATATACATAGAGTGAGAATTACAGTGCAATTTTGAGTCTCTGTGTGCAACATTTGCTGTAATAAACATGGCATGGCTCACAACGTTAAACTTCCAAGCCCAATCTGGATGCCTGGTGTTGTTGACACTCGTTTTCACCAACTGCCGCAGGGAGCCATTCCAAGGCCGAAGCCCGGAGGATTTAGGGTTTGGGGTTTTTGCATGGCTGGGGAGGAGCAGTGTGAGATCACCTCACAAGTCAGCGGCGGGATGGACATGGCTGCGCAGTTTCTAGATTCATCGCCATTGAACCCTCATTGTTGAACGCTGTGGAATTGGTCGGAAACACTTCAGACCTGCACCAGGTGGTGACCACAATTGACTGAACTAGCTCGCCGATCTGATCGTTTAGTAGCAATCGTGACGGAGTTCACGTTGCATGGATGTCAGCGTAGCCGTGTCGAGAGCACCATGTCAGTCGAAGTTACCTTCACATAGTGGGCAAAATCACTGGCGCTGACTGATTTTAAGCCATCTGTGGATCACAAGATCCCTAATTGAGCAATATCGTTGAATCGACAATGTTTGGTCCTCCACATCAGTCCAATTCAATCGTCTGGGGAGAGCTGAACAACCTACCAAACTGCAGAACCCACCTCCGAAACGAAATAACACTCTCTGAGCATACAACCGGAGTCGGCATCTGCAATGCATTGAAGAAGTTCATCTCCGATTTCAATAGCTCGAGCACCACGGATTTCTACGCTGGTATGCTCGAATTCCTCATGTCAGTTATGATGTTGGATTGTGTTCACCACCGCTGTGTCATAGGAATCGGGTGCAGCAGTTTCTCCCTCACCAAATTGCGAACGTCTTAAAATGTCCGAAGTTGTAAACTAACAACTTATTCATAATTTTGGGCGCTAACTGAACACAATTACATCAGCTTTTCTGCCGAGGTTAACGGAGGTTCATATCCAGGGGCAGCGTACCACGTCATTAATATGCTTAGTTACTTCCCTCCGTCTCCCAAGTGGGTTCACGAATTAATGGTGATGCTGTTTGCCCAACGTGTTCAGCCCCGACGGAAATGGACAGAGCAGACAGCGGCAGACTTTGAGTAGTACTCAACAGTGGTTGTGGTTGTGGCTTTAGGCATCTAGAGATTTTAGGCACGGTGCATTGTTATCCCGCGCCGTGCATGGTAGGGTTTTTTCACATTGATTAGCAGGTGCGTTTATAACGACATGTAGGAACCGCGAGACCTAGTTACTTGGCGACAGCAGGAAAAATCTTTCGTTCAGGGTCACAGTGTAACCAAGCCACCCTCCCTTGAGCTTCCTTCCTCACAACCCGGCTGGTTTTCGAATGTGCGCTCTCCCAGTCGCGTTTGTTTCACCGAGTGGGAAGCGAATGGATCCTTTCCTCACGAGACTACAGCACATTTTCGCAACGCGAACCCTGAAATGAGAGATTGAATGTGCAAGCAGGTGCCAACTTCCGTCTCTCTCCCAGCACAAGTCAGTGTGTCTATTCCAGCTGCTAGACAATGCAAGAGTGAATTCATTTAGAACAAATCAATTCGTTATTGTAGACCCTGCAGAGTCATCAATTAAAAATTGTAAGAAGTGCCTACATATTGTACGCTAGGTGGTAACGGTTATGCCTTCGTTTCGGGATTCTCAGTAATCAGTTCATCATGGAGTTTGAGGGTGAAGCACTGCGCAATCTGTTCTCAATAACCGTTGTCTGCAAGCGCGCGCACACGCAATTACACACACACACACACACACACAAACATACTCAACAGTGGACATACATTGCAATCTAGGAACGCGTCTGGGAAATTAGACCGAAAGTTCACACAACTTGTGAGCAATGTATTTCTGGACTTTTTACTAAATTAATCTTAATTTGAGCAAACAATAATTGCACTTGCACAACCTGGATGCGCGCGTAAATAATTGAGTTTTGGTGCAGGAGGAGGGGAAGTTTGAGGGAGTTATGAACAGCGGGAGGCGAAACAGAAGAAATTACGCCGTTGTGCGAACGGTTCCTTGAATCTGCTTTGCTCCACGATTAGCGCGACCACCGAGTTCTGAGCTGGCCTCTAATTGGCCATTTAGTATTCATCTTCCTGTTACTGTGCAACGAGGAACATGACAGGATCATATTTGGGTATGGCAAATTTGAAGCCCTCAACGGTTGTGCCTTTCGACAAGCTCAAATGACAAGCAATAAAAGCAGAAATAGGAACAATATGACCATGAATCCTCTTTAAATAGTTCTTCCTGTAATAACGGCGACCATCGCGCTGGACAATGGCGCGCTCACTGAGCCGCCACCCTCCCCTTCCTCATTCTCAGATGGCTACTTGCTTCCTCCTGCCCCACCAGTGACTTGCACCCTCACCTGGAGGATAGATCTACCTCTTCATCTCCTCTCTTTTCTTCACTGTCGCGTTTCCTTTATTGCTGTGACACAGAGCGGTGCCATTCTGTGTCCTTTGGGTCATCTCCCTCACAAGTGAACGAAGAGGGATTTCCTTTCTTTCTTTTCAGGTTGGATCTAGATCACGAAGCTGTGAATGCGCACTGTCCACTTGGAGCGTAGTTAGTCTTGAGGAGATTGTACATTCTTCTTGCATGTGTCAACCGTAAATCATAATGATGCAGTTTTGTGGTGTTTGTGGTGGAGCAATTCAGTCCCCAATTTCCCGCACTGTGCATCTTGTCTGTCCGCGAATGTGTTAACGCCGAGTAGGTATAGTAGCGCTGAAATCCTCTTCATTCCTGCCGTCACGAAGGTTATCAACACTAGGATTCCGTGAACACCTTCACCTGTCGCTATCATTCACCTTTTACTAACTGTTGATTGTCTGCGACAGGGTTTCGAGACGATTCGACTTGTTGTACTGAATTGGGTCCCCGTGTCCTCTGTTCCTTCCACCATGGCCGCTCTGGATAGGAGCGCGTCGGGTACCTTATATCAGAGGTCTTCCTCCATGTCAAGGGCGGAAGCTAGCACCGCTAAGCTTCTCAGTGAGTCAATGCTCACTAAGCAATCCTCAATGCCAGTGGAACGCGTTCGCACTTCTCCTGAGCGTCTTCTTTCTTCCCGTTTTTCAGGGAAAAGCAGCGCCATCTGGTACCGCAATACAATACTTGGGGTCTTCGGCACTTTGCTCATAATCGGTGTGGTCACATGGCCGAACTTCGTGACTCCGAACCTTGATGGAGACCCACTGCCTGCCCCTGCTACATTGGAGGATAGATGGGAATCTGCCTCCAGAGCTCTTCCCTTCCACCTCTACGTCAAGAATGCCCTTGGGAGGTCGAAGTTCCTCGTCACGGACCAGGGTCCAGACGTCAAATACCACAGGGGACCTGTCCTAGTAGGAGACAACAAGAAGATTCTCAAGGTACACTTAGTATTCTATGGGTCTTTCACCAAAGCCCAGAAGGCCATAGTGATTACTTTCTTGCAATCATTCACAGCCCCTAAGCCATCGAAGCGTTTCCCTACCGTCGCTGGCTGGTGGTCAATCGTGAGCAAATACAAAAATACGAAGGGTGTAACCGTTGCGCCTGTCGTGACTTTGGGGACCCAAGTTCACGACACGAAGTATTCCTTGACGAAGAGCTTGAAGCAATCCGACATCGAGAAGCTTATCACTGTTTCCTTAAGGAAGGGTCTGGCTCTGGATCCCACCGGTGTGTACTTCGTCCTCACCTCAGACGACGTGAATGTCCAGGGATTCTGCAGCTCGCAGTGCGGAACTCACTCCTCTATTCGTCCCGCTGCTCTCACGAAGCGGACAAGGCTGCCATACGGATGGGTCGGAAATTCAGCGAAGAAATGCGGAGGATACTGCGCGTGGCCGTTTTTTAAGGCCGCTTACGGAGCCGGACCTAACACTCCGCCATTGAAGGCCCCCAATGGTGACGCGGGAGTGGACGGTATGATCATCAACATCGCAAGTATCCTTGCTGGTGTTACCACAAATCCCTATGGAAACGGTTACTTCCAAGGAGATAACCAGGACCCTCTGGAGATTGCTGGAGTGTGTGCTGGAATCTATGGTCCTAACTCCTACCCAGGATACCCTGGAGACATCCTCAAGGATTCTAGGGGCGCGAGCTTCAATGTCTACGGTGCCTACCGTAAGAAGTTCCTTGTTCCATGGGTTTTTCACTCAGTGACGAAGAAGTGTGCTGGTCAGGCGTGAAATGGCGACCAGGATCGGGGACTGATGCCCTGATTGCTAACGGTCGACTGTGCTTTGCATAGCATGGTGCTAGTCTCCAATGAGACCAAGGTGTAGACTTACTCATCATGACGATTTTTCCATTTTATCTGATTGGATGTAGGATTAATTGCTTATGACAGGACCGAAGAGCCGGCCACTACAGATGGAAGAGTGATGCATTGCCGTTCTAAATGTATAGAATGAGCCAACCTCTGGCTGTCTTATGCAGAGTGGCGATACATATTTTGCTCTGTTAAGTTAATTGCGAAGCATGCTCAACAGGACAGAGAAAAAAATGTTTTCTATTCGTGAGACTTACGATTGATTATAAGATCCTGTCAATTTCTTTCATAATATCCACTCTCCTTTTGTGTTCAACCCGAAGCTTCTGAGAATCATCTTCCGATATCAGTGAACCCGAACGATAAGTGTTAGGAACATTTTTTCTAGTCCTGTTTGCAAAGATGCGAATGCCGCAGAATCAATGATGTCAAGTTTTTGTAACTTTGGTATTGATAATCGCAATAAAACCTCCCTTCGTGGTTGTAATACTTTCGCCGTAGCAAGGGGGTCCATCGTGTTGTCAAATACGGATGAAGCTTGCTCAGAAAACTGTAATTGTAGGTCTGATCCGCAGTTCGGATCTTGCATCCGGTCTGTTTCTTCTTGCGACATGCATCCTCCGTATCATAGTCAATCTTCTTCCAAGTCGCTCTCCACTATCAACATTTTTGATGCGCATGGATCTAGATGATTTCTCCTTGCCTGGGAAAGAGGTAAGTGTAACTACACTAATGCTTAGCAGATTTGAAACAATGAAAAAGAGAAGACCAGCGCGTGGATCTGAATTTGAACTCTTCCAGCACCGACTGCACGAATCCCAGTTAGAAACACCGTCAATGGTCAGATACTTCTACAGTCAGAGAACGGCACCCCTTGCGCTGATGCTGCCTTCGGCTGTGTTCCAGACAGGCGAGAGATCTGGCTGCTGAGGAGAAGGACTATAAGCTACTTGAATTAGAGTGACGTATCCTTACACAAGGAAGCTTGTGTCAGATCACAGCAGTGCCAATTGGTATTTTTGAACTCTCACATTGAACGTAGATGTGATGAAATAGCAATAAATTGAGGAGTGAAGGAAGAATGCAATGGAATTTCTTCTGAAATAGACGGATTATTACTCGATTCCTCTTTGATTTCCTGGCGAACCTGATTCAAGTGGGTTTTAGCTGAATCCGGAGCATATCAGGAAGCCTGAAAATGACCTCTTCGTCCACATCTTAAACTTCTTTGAAATTCGGCTGTGCGATGTGAAATACCTTCCCGGTCACTTAGTCCCGAAATCCCTCTATGGTAGACAATTCTTCTTTGTTGCCATGTACAGCAGTGATGCTGGCTTCCTGTTGCTAACACACAACTTACCTGCGGATTGGGGGTTTCAATGCTGGAGCTGTAATTGCGTGTTCTGATTCAGAGCTTTGACAGCATCTTCCATCGCATGGGTCGTTTTCCTCTCAAGTAGAGGAAGGTCACCGGACAGATTTATTTTGTGAGCATGCTACATTCATTTGGAAGATGAATAGTATTACAACGGTCGTTTCATTTTCTGGCTTGTGGATGGACTTAGCAACGGAATATCTTTCGATATAGGGATGACTGCCTATTGATTTCCATTATCATGCAACGACTGCAGCACAATTTGTCCGTGTGAACCTTGTCTTCGATTGCGTTAGAATGTATCCTTGGAATGAGGACCATACCCTCAACATGTCTTATTCATTCCTCACACAACGCTTGTCTGATCCCAACCGTGAAATGCGACCTCACAACCCTCCCAGCATAAAATATTAGTTATGATTCTTCAGCTGGGGAGGTGCAAGTGGAACTCAGCATCCTAGTCTTCAGTTCAATCACTAGAGATTTTAGTCTTTTCCTAGTTTCTGCAGCTTCAAACATGCAATCCCAGAGAACAGATACACAGTCTACACAATTCCTTGCAAAGTCTGGTGTTATTGTGCTGCGTGGGCACAATGTGATGCACAGAAACGAGGCTGCTGTTCTATATCTGCATCGATCGAAAGCCAGTTTGGCTGTGACATTGATTAATTTGTTGTGACATCGGCTCCCTTCACCGCATGAATCTCATGGCTGGGGCCCTTTCATCCACTTTTCTATGACGACCAGAGAGAAACAGCCCTAAAACTATGTGCTTTGGGTAAATTTCCGTAACAAAGGTCCATTCAGTTGAAGAATTCGGGCAGGTCTGAAATGTTTTGGCTTGCATTACTCGCCAACCCATGACCTTCGGGATAAAGAACTCATTAACGATGGCTCTTACACAAGATTCAAACTCAATACCTACTATGTCATAAGAATTTCACTTAGCACATATTCATTGCCTCCAACTCATATAAACAAGTATTGATATTTAAAATAACCATGTATGAAGTAAAATTCATCTATCAATGTGAATTCAAGGTTGTTCTTGTATAAAAAAAAATTATTAACTAATTATTTGTTTTATTAAGACATAAAATTGGTTTAATATTTAAAAATATCTGATTTGTTGGTCATACCAAATAATATTAAAATTCTTAAAAATCTACACCATCTATATAGGAGAATATGTAATCAATATAGAAAAATCATATATCAACCTATTTGTTTCATTAGATCCATTTTACTTAGTATTTAAATTTATTAGGACTTTGCTATTAGGTTTAAGATAATACTTTGTATTTTTCTTGTTTTTGACCACTCTACTCTTCTTCTACTTTTTGTAGCTACTATGCATATCATCAATAACAACAATCAATATAATTGTTAATGCATAAGAAAGATAAACAATTGTTTGTTTGGTTAACAATTAAAGTTGATTATTATGTAGATTAGATAAGCTTGTTGAGTAAATTAGAATGATATGAGGCACTTGTTGTGTGGATTGGATGTACTTATTGAATGAACTAGCATGATTTAAATTTTTTATTATATAGATCAAGTATGCTTATTGAATAAATTAGAATAATTTGAATTACTAGTTGAATAAATTGAGATACTATGAATTGCTTGTTGTATAGATTGGAACAATTTGAATTTCTTCTTGCATAAATTAAATATCCTTATTAAGTGGATTAAGATGATTTGGATTCTTTGTTGTATAAATTGAATGCACTTAAAAGAATGCATTGAGATGATTTAAATTACTTGTTATGTGAATCAAGATGATTTGAGATTCTTGTTGTATAGATTGGATATTCTTATAGAATGGATCAAGATAATTTGAGTTGTTTGTTGTATAAATCAAATATTCTTGTAGAATAAATCAAAAGAATTTGAGTTACTTATTGTATAGATTGGATGCATTTTTAAAGTGAATTGAAATAATTTGACGTGCTTGTTGTGTAAATTGAATATGCTTCCTGAATAGATTGATTTTTTTTGAAATGCTTGCTATGAAGATAATTTGAATTTCTTTTTGAATAGATTGAGATGATTTAAGTTTTTATTTTATTTTATTTTATTTTTTGTGTATGGATTAAATATTCTTATTGACTGAATCAAGAAAATTTGAGTTACTTTTTAGATATATTAGGAAGATTCAAGTTATTTGTTGTGTGGATCTAATATGCTTATTGAATAAATAAAGACAATTCAAGTTCCTTGTTGTGTATAGTGGAAGTTGATGATGTATAAATTAGATGCACTTTTTCAATGAATTGAGATTATTTGAGGTGCTTATTGTGTGGATGAAGATGATATATATTTCTTGCATTTCTTGTGTGAATCAAGTCAATTTAAATTACTTTTATTTATTATAAAGACCAAAATAAACTTTGATATGATATGAAATAAAGTTTATTGGTTTGATATATCACTCTTAGTAGTGAATGTAATTTAATTATGGTTGTAAATTCATTATTATGAATATAATGTGCTAGGGCCACTTTATTATATTACTAATTTTAAGCTGCTAATAAATACAACTCAATTTTATTATCATATTTTATATTCTTAATTAGCATTATAATTTAAGTATAAATATTATTGATTAAGATGTAATCTAATGTATTTACAATATTACAAGCATCATATTCTAGTTAGAAGATTATAAGATACAATATCATAAATAATTAATTTCATTTGAAATAGTATTGGCAAAGGCATAAATCTAAAAAAAAGAAATCTTCAATACACTCTCATATTACTCAAAAAGACTAAGAAATCACTCAAAGATGGTAATATATTGAACAAAAATGGCTATTGCCAAAGACAAGAAGAATAAAAAGTCTTGAAATAAAGACTAAAGACTAAAAAGATATTGACAAGTGTAAAGAAGGCTACACTCTTGTCTCTATATATTTTCTAACTAAGAGCTACAAGACAATCTTCTATAGGACTTCTAACATGTATTGACTTTATTAGACACATGTCTTAACTTGTAAGATAAGTTATCTATATGTACATCATATAGTTAGCTTGTTTTACAAGCTATCAATATGCATAGTACTGTCAAGGACATGAATCTCTAAAAAAGAAAATCCTTGATACACTCTTGTGTCACTAAAAAAAACTAGAAAGTCACTCAAAAGGTAATGTAATATTAACTAAAATGACTATTATCAAAAATAAGAAGATTAAAAAGTATTGAAATAAGACTTAGGACTAGAACAATATTGAAAAGAGTGAAGAAGGCTTTACTATTGCCTCCATATATTCTTAATTAGGAGGTACATAGTGATGTTCTAAAAGACGTGTAAAACATATTGAATTTGATAACCACATGTCTTAACTTGCAAGGCAAATTATCTATGTAGGCATCACATGATTTGCTTATTCTACAAGCTACCAATACGAGGTTAACTTGTTGGCCAAGTTTCCAATCTACAAATATATCTAAAATTAAAACCGTATTTATGAAGCTTCTAGGAAGCTTTATTAAAAGACTTTATGATATTAATCTATATTTATCTACTTCTACATAATCATATAAGTAATTATTGACATAAATATATATGTCTGTGATATTACCTCTTCTTTTAAAGATGAGTTCTACAAGGAGTGGTCTTCATATATTGAAGAAGTCTAAAATGTAGCAAATTACATTTGTCACATACTTCGATCTTTGCTCTCTTTGAAGATGGTTGATAGACCCTCTCAGCCATTGATAGTATCCTACACTAGGACAAGAAGACCATTCTATTATTTGGTCACTGTTGAAGCCTTTGTAACTTCTTTCAAATAAAATATTTGGAGCACTGTCAGGAGTTGTTCCTACTTCTATTAAAATCATCAAACAACGGAAGTCTCTTCCAAGGTTGTGATATCAAATATATTGTATCTCACCATCTAATCGAGGAAAGACATGTTGTTCTTGATGATCTTCATCTCAATTTTGTCATCTTGAAGGTTGTGACAATTGCAATGTCTCATCTAGTAAGTATGCAAATGAAAGCTCTTGAATTGAATCTATTGATTGTAGGTTCTCTATCTCCTTAGTCTCACAAATATACATTAGCTACAAAGAAAGATAGAAGGTAGAATATTATCTTTCTTTGATCTTGT